GGCTGGGGATTCGAACCCACCACCTTAGGTGTATGTGGCTGGCACCTTAGCCGGTTGAGCTATAGGCGCCGAGCCTCTTTGACCTTTCTTATGGATGGAAGAGGGACTTTGATGGAGAACCCACTGGCCAGGTTCCCCTTTCCAAGAGGCAGAGGATTTCAAATGGTGTAGCTTAAAAAATAATATTCTACACTGGGCGTGGTGGCTCGCACCTGTAATCCCAGCACTCTGGGAGGCCAAGGTGGGTGGTTAGACTGAGTTCATAGGTTCAAGAGCAGCCTCAGCAAGACTGAGACCCCATCTCTAAAATATATGAGGGCATTGTGGCAGGCACCTGTAATCCCAGCTACTTGGGAGGCTGAGGGAAGAGAATCACTTGAGCCCAAGAGTTTGAGGTGGCTCCGAACTATGATGCCATGGCACTCTACTGAGGACAACAAAGTGAGAATTTGTCTCAAAAAAAAAAAAGAAGAAGAAATGCTGTTCTAGAGAATAGTAATTTATTAATACTATTTTGTATCCATAATTAAAAAAAAATTTTTTTTGAGGCAGTCTCAAACTGTCACCCTGGTTAGAGTGCTGTGGCATCACAGCTCATAGCAACCTCAAACTCTTGGGTTCAAGTGATTCTCTTGCCTCAGTCTCCCCAGTAGCTGGGTCTACAGGCGCCTACCACAGCACTCAGCTATTTTTAGAGATAAGGTCTCACTCTTGCTTAGACTGGTCTCAAACTCCTGAGCTCAGGCAATTCACCTGCCTTGGCCTCCCAAAGTACTAGGATTACAGGTGTGAGCTGTTGTACCTGGCTTAAAATTTATTTTATCAGATATAAGTATAGCTATTCTTGCTCACCATTTGCAAGAGGTATCTTTTTTCCATTCTTTCACTTTCAGTCTAGGTGTGTCCTTACAGGTGAAGTTAGTCTCTTTTAGGCAGCATACAGTTGGAATTTTTCTTTCTACATTTACTGACTGTATTTTTGGTTTTTGGCACAGTCTCTCTCAGTAGAAGTGCTGTGGCATTATCATAGCTCACAGCAACCTCAAGCTCTTGGGCTCAAGCGAACCTCCTGTCTCAGCCTCCCAACTAATTGGGACTACAAGTCCTTGCCACCATGTCTGGTTGGTTTTTCTCTAATTTTTTAGTAGAAACAGGGGTCTTGGTCTGGCTCAGGCTGGTCTCAAACTCCTGGGCTCAAACAATCCACTCACCTTAGCTTCCCAGAGTGCTAGAATTACAGGCGTGAGCCACTACACCTGGCTTAGTGACCCGTGTTTTTTGATTGGAGAATTGAATTCACTTATGTTTAGGGTAATTATTACTTCTGCCTTTTGGTTAATTATTCTATTTGTTT